CCTCCTCATTCTTATGGTTCCAAAGCATCCCTTTTTGGGCCTGATAAAGAGCCATTTTCCTCCTCCTTTTAAAGGCCACATTGCAGCCATTTCATTTTACTTTGTTGCTTATATACACAGTTTTTTTTCCTTCTCAAGTGCACAGACCTGTCACTTTTTTACTTTGCTGCTCATATGCCTCTATTCTCCTATTTAGCTAATCCCACCATATCCTCCCAACTGCATATGAGGAGTTGGAATAATGTTTTTCAATGCTATCCCCATGGCCAGGCCACAGGCTTCTCTAAATCACCTTCATGCCTATTACCTTTACTCCAGCTTTGCCTAAAATCACATTTATGTTTTTGTGACCTGTAATACAACACAGTGTAGGGTATTTAGCCTCCATTATTTTGCCTAGAAGGCCATATGCCAGCTGCCATAAATTTGCACAGAAGCTCATTCCTGTCCTCAATCAGCATGGATCAGGATTAATTCTCTGAATAAAGACAAAACAGCTTCCCTTCTGCAGTAGTTGGAAAGGTGTAATATTAACCTTGTACAGGTTAATGATCAGTGGAAATATAAGGCCCTCTTGCAGACTGGGTTGTAGAATCTCCTCAACTTGGGACAGAATTATTTATGAACAATCGCCATCAAGAAAACTAAGACAAATGAATTCCACTTTCTCAGACTTTTGGAATATTATATGAGTTTTGTGAAAGTAAACACCTGAAAGATATTATTTGTAATATACTTTGTGTATTCAAGGTCGGAGGTGCTGGACTGTCTGGGGTGGGTTCCCTGGCTTGTCTGGGTGCTTGGCTGTTTATTAGCTTACTGTTAATTAGATCACTGTTAGCTGTAGGCTGTACTGTTTACAATGTGCACTGTTTAGGATCAAGCTCTTACCTAAACAGTGTGAAATATTTGATTTTATTGTTCATATGGGGACTGCCCCTATTTCTGAAGTGTACAAAAACCTGTATTTCTGTTCAATAAAGTAGTTCCAGTTTTGAACCTAAACTAGTGTCTCCTAGTCTTGGGTGCAATGCCCAGCTATAAAACCTTAGTTCTGTGTCCCAGCAGCAAGGAAGCAGTTCTCTGACAGAATCACCCAATCGGGGTGACAGGTGGTCCGCCACAGCACCTATCAGGAATATGATATGTTGGGGTAACATATTCTTCAAGCATGTTTAGCTACTGAAAAACATACTGTTTTGTGAATGCTGTATAAACAGTTACAGTATATAAGTTTGCATCTTGTTCTGTTACATCATACTGACGTTTTTAATTAACCTATTAGTATTGGCATAAAGTGTTTTTAAATTAACAAAATAAATAAATAAAATAAGGATACTGCAGGGATGGGGATATAGGGTAAAGGGAAATGTAAGTGATGTCATGTGTGATGGTTTAGGTGCACGTAGTTCTTCCACTTAGGGGTTGATTTACTAAAGTCAAATATACTGTGCATTTTGTAACTGCAGTTGCACCAATTTTCCTCAGAGCGCAGGGAATGTAGTGAAGCTTCACTTTGTAAAGAATACTCAATCAGCTGCAAGGAAAATAGAAAACAGTATTTTTGTTTGCGCATGATTGGATGATGGAAATCAGCAGATCTTCACAATATTCAATATGCTTTGAGGAATATGAATGCAAGTGCACCTGCAAAGTGCAGAGTCCATTTGCCTTTAGTAAATCAACCCCAATGTTTTTTTTTTTCAAGTGATGCATAAAAAATAAACTCTTGGATAGACTTCCAGTGACAGCTATCTTGTGTGCTCCTATTACCCCAAGCCCAAGCCTAAACCTAAAAAGAAAAGGGAAATTATTTTATTTAATACACAGATCTGTTCACACAGGCTGGACATATGAAAAAATGTACCCCATAACTGCAAGTCAAAGAACTTAAGTATGGTTTGTTAAAGTAGATATAAACTCAAACATTAACATCTCATAGAAGCTTTAACAGTTGTGGATACTAATATAAAGCTCTTCATTTGCATACATTGTGTTATGGGTTGCCAAAATACCTGTACCTTCTTTTCACATGGGATTGCAGACTGCCACTGCCCCTACAAAAAAGAATCAAATATAAGCTCAGTTATTAGTCAAATTTAAATAAATGAGCATAAATGCCTCCCCCTAGGGATCCAGGGTGACCAAACCACATAAAGCGCCAGCGACAGTGGGAGGGAGGGTAGCTCTTTTGGCCAGGCAGACCAACTGCACAAAATCCCTGGGTACCTCCTCTTTATATAGGGCTTCCAGATCTTCAAGAAACTTCCATGAAATCTTATTGGCTAACTTTTCTTTTAAAAAATTTAAAGAGACAGTATACCCTTCACTGTTTTTAACTATATTAAATAATAAATTAATAGAAGGGGCAGGACAGTCGCAAACCTATGGAGGCGGGCCCAAATACCTGTGCCCTCCTCTCACATGGGATTGCACTGCCCCTACAAAAAAATAATTCCCCTGAATACAACTATAAATAAAGACATAAGTACACATGAAAGTTATGACAAATTAATGGCTGCGGTACTTTATTATTTTTAACCACTTAAGGACCACCCTATAGCAGATATACTGCTACAGGGCAGCACTTGTGTGCAGAATTACATATATATACGTCATTGTGCATTTCTGGATAGGGGGTGCAAGCCCTACCCATGCCGCCATTCGTGTGGCTGCGGATGTCAATAACCAGGTTCCGGATGGTAATTACCCACACCATATAATTACTGAGCATCTCAGACGGGGAGGAAGATTGTTTTGTTTACAAACAATCTTCCTCCCTGTCAGCTTGAGCACACTGCTCAGGATGGCTGTGCACAGTACAGCCATCCCGATCAGTGTGCTTACAGTGAAGAACACACCCCCCACCCCCTAGTAAAACACTCACAGAACACAGTTAACCCTTTGATCGGCCCTCACATTAACCCCTTCTTGCCCAGTGCCATTAGTACAGTGTCAGTGCTTTTTTTAACAGCTGATCACTGTATTGGCATCACTGGGTTGTCAGTGACACCAAGTTAGTTCCCCCTCAGTGTCAGAATGTCCGCCACAGTCCCGCTAAAAGTCGCTGATTGCCGCCATTACTAGTAGTAAAAAAAAATCCCAATTATCTATACCACCATTTGTAAACGCTATAACTTTCACATAAACCAATTAATTTACACGTATTGGGATTTTTTTTTAGCAAAGACATGTCACAGAATACATTTTGGCCTAAATTTATGATGAAATTTGATTTTTTAATTTTTTTTACTGGTTATGTTTAATAGCAAGAATTCCAAAATATTGTTTTTTTTCTCAAAATTGTCAGACTTGTTTGCTTATAGCGCAAAAAATAAAAAATGCACAGGCAATCAAATACAACCGAAAGAAAGCTCAATTCATGGGAAAAAAAGGACGTAAATTTCATTTAAGTGCAACGTTGCATGACCGCGCAATTGTCAGTAGCACCATAACGCAAAAAATGGCCTGGTCATGAAGGGGGGGTAAATCCTCAGGAGGGCAAATGGTTAAAATTCAAACATCAAATAAAAAAAAAAAATTATTTTATTTATTATTATTCAACCATAAACAAAGTAACTAATCACATATAAACTCAGTTATTAGAAAAGACCGGCTACCCAAAATCACGGTCATTTAGATGCAATTCTGTAAACCAAGGTTGAATAAGTCAATTCCAATATCAGAAAGGTGTGCCCCATCTTGTCTATACAACCCTGGGATTCCACCTTCCAAATCGATGTACCTGTACAAAAAGCCATTACAACGAGGCAAAAACCTAAATATAGTCCTATTAATTGTTTTCCTAATCTTCTCCATCACCTTACACTGAGGAGAAGCCACCCAGCACAAAGGAGACACTATCTCAGAAAACAGGGGGAGTTAACTGAAAAAACGATGGAGATACCATTTAGTCATAAACAATAAATCAAGTGTCTGCATATGCCATAAATCATTGGCACCTAAATGAACAATCAGAATTGAGGGCAAAGGCCAAAACTCATATAAGTGAGCTAAAACCATATAAAGCTGACACCAACGAAGACCTCTGATGCCTTTCCAAAGCATAATGAAAGAATCTGGAGGCATTGATAAGTTCTCAGAACATGTACTGTATGTTGAGCTGCTCTTTTACCTGCCCAGTATTTGAAAGAATGTACGATAATCTATACACACTTAAAGGAATTTAAATAAATAGATTAGGAAGGACGGAGATTTTAAAAAAAACAGTTGGAATCCCTCCCACTTAGTTTTTTTAATGTACTCATCTGACAGACCACTCCATTACGAAAGGAATGTGAAGTAAAGCAAGACAAGCGAGGCATTTTTTTTTTTAACACTGAATCGAATTGAAACTTAGTATGAGGTGAACAATCATCATGTATTAAAAAATTGCCTGAGCCAGGAGGATAGACAGTTACATATTAATGTAAAGTAACAACTGGGCAAATTGTCAAATGGAGATAATGCTATCCATTGACCTTTACCAAGTTGATCTGTGTTCAATTTGGATATAAGCAATTTACTGTAACTCCTGCCCCTTCAAAAACTACATGCTCAAACATACCAGAAATACTTTTCTTATTGTAAGGGAGCAACTCAGAAGTCAGTAATGCCTCAAAAAAGGTAATAAGAAAAGCAGTTCTGAAAAGCAAAGATTCGTACTGTGAGAAACGTAAAGAACTGGTAATTTGGCAGATGTTGACAAGAATGTCCAATAAAATGGGTCTTCTGCTACCTGTTGTAAGTTTCTCTTTTTTATAGCCTTTCAAAGCTTTCTTGATCGAAAAGAAGCTTGAACAAGCCGGAAGCTTCTGAAGGTGAAGGAAGAATGAAATACCAACTAAGATCTTGACTATGTGGCTATGCAAAAATTGCTGTCAGGGCTCCCAGGTGTGACCAGAGGTGTGTGACTGACGCAGGGAAACGCAGGCTTCAGATATGTGATAAACAATATAATTTATTAACACTAACCATACAAACATAAACGCAGTGCAATACTAAAACATATTACAGTGCAAACAAACCAAACCAACCACCCACAGATAACAGTACATACAAGCAAGCGTCGTCAGGCAGGCCGGGTCAATATCAATAGGGCAGGTAGGTACAGGGGGAGCAAGCGGAGATGGGTCGGGGTCACAGGCCAGGTTCAGCAGGTAGCTAGCAGCGTAGTACAGAGGGTCAGGCAGAGGGATGGTCAGGGTCACAAGCCAGGGATCAGAACAGGTAGCAAGCAGCGTGGTACAGAGGGTCAGGCAGAGGGATGGTCAGGAGCGAGCCGGGATCAGAGCAGGAGAAGTCGGCAGCGGTTCAGATCAGGCAGGGTCAGCAAAGGAACAGAAACAGGATGCAGGACAGATACAGGGCCCAGGACAAACACAACACCAAGGCAGAGTCTGCAAGTCTGGCCATCCCTTAAATACACCAGTATCATCAGTTCCAGGTGTTAGCTGGCTGAAAGGTTGAGTCTCTGATTGCTGGGAGCACCCGTTGGCCAGCCCTGGTACTACAGATCAAAAGGCAGGTGAGTCCCACCATTGCTGGCCAGTCCATTCCTGACAATTGCTGTCTCATTAGTGAATCCAAAAAGGCTAATAACGTTTCTTCCAATGGTTGATATGGTAAATACTTATTCAAATCACAAATTTGAACCCATTTTTCCTAAGCCATGGAATATCCTTTCCTTGTATGAGGAGCCACAGAATTCCTAATTGCTTGAGAAGCCAAAGTTAAATTAGGTCCCACAAGTCTAAAGGGCAAGGACAATATAAGTAGAATGACAGGCTCATGGTTTAGCAGTCCATGTATATGTTGTAATAATTTCCAAAAGTGAGCAGGGATAGTTTAGTAGGCACTAAGGGCAAGCTGCGATGGAGCGAAGCAACTCTGCAGTAGAAGAAACAAAAAAACACAGCGCCTCTAAATGTATACTGTGATTAATATTTAATAAGAAGGTAAGTAGTAACTCACATCTTAGAATTTAAAAACAGGCTTATATGGTGGAGATGTAAAATGTCTGTAGCCAGGTGTTAGGTGACTGATCCAGAAAGGAGATAGCCTTGGCCCACCAGTAGATGGTGCTATGTATGCAAAGCATGGTTGGTGAAGCCTGGCAAGCCTCTCCAAGATGTCTGGGGTTGGTCAAGTTTGGCGTCTGACATCATCAATGTGCAACACGTTTCTGAGCATGTGCGGGGTGAGCATTGCCGGCTGCATTCTTTCATCAGGCAGGGAGAAGCAAGGAAGTGGGAGAGCCTTATATAGAGCGAGGGAGGATGATGGACAGAGCTGGGCGCAGGGAAACATAGGAAGGATCGGTCACACTTAAATATATAATATTCCCAAAAGCCAATGCTGCCGCCTCCGCCAGAACTGCACAAAATTAACAGACTACAAAGAACTAAGTGTCACCCTTAAGAAAAAAATTGCTGAAAAAAAGGTATCCGACAAACTGGTAGATGAAGCATACACTTTTACCTGTCTGGTAAACCCAATAAAAATAGATCTGTTGAGGACCCACACCATACAGTAATATTCACCACCAGATTCCATGGGAGACACCAACAAATGAGAAACGTTCTCAGAAAACATTGGAACATCTTGCTACCAAGATCTCATCTGAAAGATGTTATTCCCCCCAAGCCATTATTACATATAAAAAAGCCCCTAATTTAAAGAAAGAAAGTAAGCCACTAGCAAAATTAAAATCTGTTCAGTCCAATCATATACCCTCCTTATTTTCTGCCCCCATCATAGGCATGTTCCAGTGTCATAAAGCTCATTGTAAAACAGGCCACTTTATCAACATGGCCAATAGGGGTTTTTTCACCACAAAGGGAGATATCACAAATTCACTGAATTCTGCAATTGCCTCATCCACCTTCATTGTCTACTGCGTTGCAGGTTTGGTGCAACACCATCGCCTAATCGAAGGGGGAAAGGATGAGCATAGTGTCCCTCACCCACTTTTTGGACAACCATAATAAATGTACTGTGGGACTTCAGGTTTGGGTGGTCGAGATCATGCCCCATAATCTCCGGAGGCGGAGCGCTTCCACAAGCTCTGCCACAGGGATGACTTTTTTGGATACATGTCCTCAACACTCTGTCCCCCACTGTCCTCAATAAGGAGTTGAAGATTGCTACCATAATATAACCTTTCTGCATTGTTAACAACTTTGAGTTATCCCACAATTCCATTGTTTTCTGGGTTTTTTGGGCTCTGAAGACTTGACATACGTTTACAACCAGGTTCTGATCATGCTGGTCGTCAGAGCCACATTAATCCCCATATATCGGTCGACTATATCTGTCCCTTGGACTTACCCATATACACATACACCTCTGCTATAGCATGTGTGCATAGTCTCGGTATACCAAACTATCTATTGCTATTGGTGGGCTGCATGGGTATTTAGATATTGCTCTATGTCCCTTACTACCCACAATATCCATTGCACTGTCGTGGCTACTAGAGTGAGCGAATCGAACTAGGCGAAGTGGAATTCGTTTCGAATATTGAGGAAAATTTCGGATTCGCGACGAATACGAAAAATTAGCAGAGCTTCGGATGCCGCGAATCGAGCATTTTTCCTAAAATGGCGGCGACATGTGCGGCGAAGGAGCGGGGATGTCTGGGAAGGTGCGCAGACAAGGCGCGCTGTACCCATAATGCAATTCATTCATGACATGTGAGTCGCATTAGCCAAATCAGCAGCCAGCCAGCCGAGGGCACTGTGTAATGGTCGAGCTATAAATGGCGGCCATTTTAGAATTCTCCATTTGCCTCCAGGTCATTCAACAGAGGCAGACCTGGCTGTATTGAGAGAGAGAGTTTAGGGACACAGAAACGTTAGAGACACAGAAACGTTAGTTAGGGACACTATACACAGAAACGTTACTTAGGACACAGAAAAGTTTACTTAGGGGACACAGAAACGTTAGTTAGGCCCACAGTTTCGTTACTTAGGGCCACAGAATCGTTACTTAGGGCCACAGAAAACGTTACTTAGGGCCACAGGGAAAACGTTACTGTAGGGGCCACAGAAACGCGTTACTTAGTGCCACAGGAATCGTAGGGCCACAGAAACGTTACTTAGGGCCACAGAATCGTTACTTAGGGCCACAGAAAAGCGTTACTTACTTAGGGCCACAGAAACGTTACTTAGGGCCACAGAATTGTTACTAGGGACAGACACAGAATTGTTAATGGGGACACAGAATTGTTACTGAGGGCCACAGAACCATTACTTAGGGCCACAGAATCGTTACTTAGGGCCACAGAAACGTTACTTAGGGCCACAGAATTTGTTACTTAAAGACAGACACAGTTACTGAGGGACACAGGAATTGATTACTGAGGGCCACAGAACCGTTAATAGGGCCACAGAACCGTTACTTAGGGCCACAGAAACGTCGTTTACTTAGGGACACAGAATTGTTACTCAGGGACAGACACAGAATTGTTACTGAGGGACACAGAATTGTTACTGAGGGCCACAGAACCATTGTACTTAGGGCCACAGAAAGAATCGTTACTTAGGGCCGACAGAAACGTTACTTATGAATTGTCACAGAATTGTTACTTAGGGGACACAATTGTTAGAATTGTTAGCTTACTTAGGGACACACAGAATTGTTACTGAGGGACACAGAACCGTTACTTAGGGCCACAGAACCGTTACTTAGGGCCACAGAAACGTTACTTAGGACACAGAATTGTTACTCAGGGACAGACACAGAATTGTTACTGAGGGACACAGAATTGTTACTGAGGGACACAGGAAAACGTTAGGGAAACACAGAACCGTTACTTAGGGCCACAGAAACGTTACTTAGGGACACAGAATTGTTACTCAGGGACAGACACAGAATTTGTTACTGAGGGACACAGAATTGTTACTGAGGGACACAGAACCGTTACTTAGGGCCACAGAAACGTTACTTAGGGACACAGAATTGTTACTGTCAGGGACAGACACAGAATTGTTATGAGAGGACACATTACTTGTTACTGTAGGGCCACAGAAACCGTTACCTTAGGGCCACAGAAACGTTCTTAGATAGCAGACACTGAATTGTTACTGAGGGACACAGAACCATTACTGAGGGCCACAGAATCGTTACTTAGGGCCACTGAAACGTTACTTAGGGTCCCGAAGTAACGTTACTGTGGCCACAGAATTGTTACTGAGGGGACTCAGACACAGAATTGTTCACCTTTCTTACTGAGGGACACCGAAACCGTTATACTGAGGCCACAGGAACCGTTACTTTAGGCCACAAGAAACGTTCTGTAGGGACACAGAATTGTTACTCAGGGGACAGACACAGAATTGTTTACTGAGGGACACAGAATTGTTACTTAGGGCGACAGAACCGTTACTTAGGGCCACAGAAACGTTACTTAGGGACACAGAATTGTTACTCAGGACAGACACAGAATTGTTACTGAGGGACACAGAATTGTTAACTGAGTGGCCACAGAACGTTACTTAGGGCCACAGAAACGTTACTGTAGGGACACAGAAATTATGTTACTTTAGGGCCACAGAAACGGTTATTGGGCCACTTACTAACGGTTCTGGGCCACAGAATTCGAATTACTTAGGGACAGACACAGAATCTGTGTTACTTAGGGCACACAGAACCGTAAGTACTTTAGGGCCCTATAAACGTTACTGTAGGACAGACACTACAGAATTGTTACTGGGCCCCTCAGACACAGATTTGTTACTGAGGTGGCCACAGAATTGTTACTGAGGGCCACAGAACCGTTACTTAGGGGCCACAGAAAAACGTTACGTTAGGGGACACAGAATTGTTACTCAGGGACAGACACAGAATTGTTACTGAGGGACACAGAATTTGTTACTGAGGGACACAGAAACCGTTTACTTAGTGCCACAGAAACGTTAAACTTAGGGGACACAGAATTGTTACTTCAGGACAGACAGCTGAATGTTACTGAGGGACACAGAATTCGTTACTGAGGCAACAGAACCGTTACTTAGGGCCACAGAAACGTTACTTAGGCGTCACAGAATTGTTACTTAGAGACAGACACAGAATTTACTGAGGTCCCCCTACACAGAATTGATTACTGAGGGACACAGAACCGTTACTTAGGGCCACAGAATTACTTAGTTACTGTAGGGACACAGAATTGTTACTGCAGGGACAGACACAGAACATGTTACTGAGGGACACAGGAACGTTACTTAGGGCCACAGAAACGTTACTTAGGGACACAACGAACTGTTAACTTAGGGCAGACACAGAATTGTTACTTAGGGCTACACAGAATTGTTACTGAGGGACACAGAACCGTTATACTTAGGGCCACAGAAACGTTAATTAGGGACACAGAATTGTTACTCAGGGACAGACACAGAATTGTTACTGAGGGACAC